TTTTTCTTATGTATCTTTTTGAAATGACTTTCATTTGGTAAAATTTCATTTTATAATATCTTAATTTTAATGTATTGTTTGTTGGTCAGTTTTCTACTAGATAAAATTAAAGAACGAATAACATTTGAGGTGAAGTGCTTTAAAACAAGTCCGCTATATGCTTCAGCACCAAAACACGAACTGGTTTGTTAAATAAAATTATAATCTAGTCTAAATAAAATAAAAATGAAATATTTACAGTATCAGAGAAGCCTATATTAACCTGTTTTTAACGTTAATGACAAAATCGTCCATTACACCGGTCAATTACTATTTAATTAATTTAATTAAATAAATAATTTGAATGAGCAGGACAGACATTTACAAAGTATTTGCAGCAACACTGAACGTGTTCCCAGATTATCTCAGCGGAACAAACTCGATTGGAAGGCTGAGAGAACTCAGAAACTCGTGGTGAGAATGGAGATGTCTGTTTATGTGTGCCAGACTGACAGATAAATTGTTTAAAATGCCTTGAATGGTAGCGGTTCCATGCGAGGAGGCTGCGCAGCTGACAGCTGGATCTGAATTGTCCGAAGAAAGAGACATAGGCTGGGCCTGGAGTTCCCCCGGCTCAGGTGCTGATGAGATTGCCTGTCTCCTCGTGTGGGCAATCAATATTTGTTTTATTAGTTTTAGGCCTTTTGGCAAATGACTCAATTAATTTGAGCTGTTTTAAAGAGTGTAAACTCATTTTGAACCTTGTTTTAAGCAATAGCTATCTGCAACACTGCCTGCAAAACTAAAGCCAATAGATTTCTTTACCCATCTCCCACCATGCAAGAACATACACACTTTAATTTTTTTTTTATTTTCACTCTTTCTTGCTGTCAAGAGATCGTAGTGTATACCTCTTTAATAATACATTTAAATTATGTAAAAAAAAAAAACAATGAATAATAATGCAACAATAACTTTTTATACATTTCTAAACATATATATATATATAGGAGATCGCCACCTACAGGTGCCTCCTGGAAAATCGGCCATTAAGTATGTTTGATAATGGTTTGTTTCTGTGAAAATATGCCACATTATTTTCCCAGCAAAAAACTCTGCTAATGCAAAATGTTTTGTTTCCTTTTACAGGACTCAAGAGGGTATCTAAAATCTCTTTATATACACATTCTACAGTGTTTTAAGTTCAGCCTATAAGTCATTTATTAATATGTCTTTCTCGCTTTTTCAGGGGGCGTTTTTGTCTGTTCAACACCAGTGGAAACAGTAGCATGTAAACAATTCATATAAACAACATCAGATGCAAGCAAAGAATGTAACAGAGTACAACTGTATTAAGTGCACTGTGCTGACTGCCTTACAATTCACCATTAAAGATTGATTAAGAAGCAATGTTTTAAATCCTCTTTTATTCATTTCTTATTTAAACAGCAACCTTGGTCATCTTTTAAACTGAAATTTGCCTGTTTATGAGTACATCACACTCTTATTTTTTTAGGTGGCATATATTCTTATTAAATAAAGTATATTTAAGGTATTTAAATAAAGCACAGATTAGAGTTTAACACAATGTATGTAACTTTTTGTTAACTTTAATTATTAAATATAAATACTAAGATGTATAAAAAATATTTTTTAACTAATAAGCATATACTTTTTGGCACTCAGATTTATTTATCATATACAGACAGTCATATTGAGGTTTTATTTTGTCTTTTAGATCACCTAAAATGGCCAGGTTCAGTAAACCTGTAGGCTACATTATATTAAAACTTCACATTAAACACTGAGCAAAAAGCATAAGCACCTTATTTTGTAAACAGTTTAACTCGTAAAATGAGAAAAGGGTGCAGTGTTCCCTAAAATAATTTATTCAGTATTGTTTTGGCTTGTGGTAATTATTTATAGCTGTTTTTAACAAAGAACAAATAAATAAAAAGTCTGCGTCTCTCTGTGTTGCTCAGGCTGCACTGCAGTGTCTATTCACAGGCGCGATCCCACTACTGATTGGCACGGGGGATTTGACCTGCTCCGTCTCCGACCTGGGCCGGTTCACCCCTCCTTAAACAACCTGGTGGTCCCAAGCTCCCCTAGGAGCACCATATCGATACCGAACTTAGCGTGGACACCCGCTCAACATAGTCCACTGCAGCCCAGAAGCCCTGAACTCAAGCGATTCGCAGCCTCAGCCTCCCAGTAGCTTGGATTACAGGCGCGCGCCACTGCACCCGGCAAGAGCTGAGAGAATTAGAGCTGTCAAGAATCTGATCATCACAGCGACCTCTATTGGAGGAAAACTGAATGATGAAGTAAAGTTGACATTTGCTTTATGGCAATGGATAAAAAAAATACACATGGTCCTCATTGAAAATGGTGTAGTGCTTCGTAGTAAATACTATATTTTTCAACTACACGGGAAAGCTTATTATACTGTATATAGCATAAATATACTGTATTTCTATATTTAATGAAAACTGTCAGCTTTACTGTTATAGCTTAAAAAACAACAGTAACACATCTAGACGACAAGTATAAAGGAACTCAGTCACATTTTTATGCAAAAATGGAATTTATATAAAATATAAAATGAATAAGGCATAACATCAATATTTTAATAACTAAATTGTTTATGATTTGCCATTTAGCAGCAAAATATATTGTCAAATACGCCACAGTTCATCAGAAAAAGTAAAGGTTTTAATGGCAACTGAAAACCACTGACTAACCTTTACTTAATACAATGAGTATCAAGTATCAAGTGAGACAAACAGTTTTTTAGGTATACACCAGATTAAAGAACTTGTGGTTTTTAATCTGAGTTGTTGTTGCTGTATTTCATACTGTTCGCCCCAGGGTTAATGTGTTTTTTAGCATAATGTACCCAACTGCATCTGACACCACAGCTAGTATCTCAGTAAAAGTTAATAAATAGATCTGTAACTCGGTATGTTAGTCATTCACTGCATGAATGACTGTTATGGAGCTAATTAAAGGATTACATAATTAATTAATTAATTAATTAATTAATTTAGGCTAATTAAAGGATTAAAACAATAATGTTTTAATGTTTGAACTCTTAATCTTAATTGGATAATTCACCACAAAATTATGACTATGACAATTATGAATTAACATGTAGTTCACACATGTAGTTCATTCTTCAATTGTTCTGATGTGTTTAAACTTTAAAAATATTTGTTATTTACTAATTTTTACCAGGCAGAAAAATATGCACATACAATAACAGTAATGACTGTGATATTGTTTGGTGACATAAAAAAATGTTTTCCAACGGTACAGTCTGTTTGTATTCAATGTCACAAAGTCAAGTTTGCTTCAACTTTAATTTTCCGTGATGATCAGATTATTGACAGCTCTGATTCTCTCAGCCCTCGCCGGGTTCAGTGGCGCGCGCCTGTAATCCAAGCTACTGGGAGGCAGTGGCTGCGGATCGCTTGAGCTCAGGGCTTCTGGACTGCAGTGGACTATGTTGATCGGGTGTCCGCGCTAAGTTCGGTATCGATATGGTGCTCCTGGGGGAGCTCGGGACCACCAGGTCGTCTAAAGAGGGGTGAATCGGTCCAGGTCGGAGACGAAGCAGGTCAAAGTCCCCGTGCCGATCAGTAGTGGGATCGCACCTGTGAATAGACACTGCAGTGCAGCCTGAGAGACGCAGACTTTTGTTTTTCATTACTGTTGTGTCTTTCTAACAGTAAAAATTAAGTTGTAGAGATGAATATGTTTAATTACAATAATAACTATAAATTGGTTAATTGTGACTTATTCTAGACTTTATTTTTTGTAAATTAATAAATCTATACAAAGTGTTCGCTAATATTAAATGAAGAATTAACAGTTTCTGTACTTTATGATTCACTAGTGTTTTCCGTTTATTTACAGTTTAGTTTAGAATTGCATTATGGTTATTTTGATTTCTGCTTTTTTAAGGTGTCAACCTGATGTTGAAAATTCCACTCAGTTTAACAAAGTGACTTTTAGATGTTTGAAATCATAAAATGTGTAAGAGATAGCCTAATATATAGCCTATAAGTCTGTAAAATACATAAAATTAACTGGTTGTTTTTAGATCTATAATAACTAGGTTTTGTAAAGTGATACAAGACCAACCCAGACAATATACCACTTTATACTAATAAAAATGTTAATAAAAGTCACAGGTTAAAAGATCGATGTCATAATGTAATTAAATCATATAAAGGGGGAAACCAATCCCAAAACAGGATAGCTTATGGATAATTATTTTGCAATGTATAAACACTGCTGATGCTATATGTCAAATAATATGTCAAATCAGTGAACTGACTTTAATAATGTAGGTTCACAAAAATCTCAGTCAATGATTTTAAAAGCTTTATGTATTTAAGCAAATTTATATGTAAATATTTATATGTAAAACTAATTTAATTCTGTTAATAATATTAAGTAAAATTCAAAACTATTTTAATATATGATATAAAGCAAACATATTGATAAAAAAATATATTAAATTAGACCAATTAGAAAATAATAACAATAATGCTTTTAGTGTAAAAATGTTGGAGCAACAAAAACACACTGGAACTGGAAGTCAGTCATTGAATCAGATATATGTCACTTTAATCACAGCTGATTGGTCCAGTTTGAGTTTGAAATCTAACTTGAAATAAAGTTTGCTCTGGAACAGACTAGCCATTTAGTTATCATGGCAACAAAACCAACTCACCTTGTTGAGCTTGAAAACTCTTTGTGTTTGCTCAAACATAACCTAAACTTACTTAGGTAAAAACCCAAACCATTTTTCTGCAACAGGCCTTCGGAATTATAGCTGGGCTTTCAGTACTCATAAATTACTGTAAGTTTCCTTGCATTCAAAAATGAAAGTATTTACACATGATCTATGAAGAAACAAAAACTAAAATATTTTAAATGTGTCACAAATGTGTATGTTTGCATGCATGTAACAAACAAAACACAAAAAAGAAACGGACACCAGAATACTGGAGCTGATTTTTAATATGAAACACACATCACAACTCTATCAGAATGATAATGAAGTGCTGGAACTTAAAACTGCAGTTCGACCATATAAATAGAGGGTAAATGTGTTAAAATGTTTTATGTGATCTAGACTGAGGGAGAGACAGATTGTGATGACCTAATTTCAGCACCTAGAAAAGAAAGACAAAAAGACGCATGTCAAACCAGGGAATAATCACATTACGTAAAACCCTTCAACTGCGACACTCATCTGAATGAGAAAAAGAACTCACTGAGAGGCCTGGTTTTCCAGGAGGCACCTGTAGGTGGCGATCTCCTGCTCCAGGCGGCTCTTGATGTCCAGCAGGGCATCATAATCTCTGCCCTGCTGCTCAATGCCAGCGCGAACCTGACAGAGCTCTGCCTCATATGCGTTGATGTGTTTCTGATAGCCTGCTAGCATAGTGCTGTAACGCGCCTCTGTTTCCAGCAGTGAACACTCCAGAGCTCCTTTCTGTTTTGGCGTTGAAAGAGTTAGAAAGAAAATAGAGACAAATTTACTAGGGATGAACTAATATGGAATTCTTGACTGATACAGATACCGATATGTTTATTGGTATCGGTTCCTGTAACTCTTTAGATTTGATAGCAAATATTTTAGCTGGTAAATATAAATATATAAATATTTTCTACTTTTTCATACCAAACAGTTAAGTGTGGTTTATTCATAAACTAATTTCGAGAGGATCACATGCTTATAATCAACACGGCTGGCTCCTTGTTAGCTCCGTAATCAGCCCTATTAGATGATTACAGAAGCATTATAAATAACCTGAGTTTTCCCCTCCAGTTATCTTCGTCTTGAAGCTCCCCCCCTTCCACCCCTACATCCTCCCACTTTTTCTGATCGGGCGACACGGTGGCCCAGTGGCTAGCACTGTTGCCTCACAGCAAGAACACCGCTAGTCCAACCCATCGGGCTGGTTGGTGTTTCTGTGTGGAGTTTGCATGTTCTCCCCGTGTTCGCGTGGGTTTTCCCCGGGTTCCCCGGTTTCCTCCCACCGTCCAAAAACATAAACCATAGCAATCGACTAAAACAAATTATCACCCAATACAACCTGAGTTTACACTTCTCACGGTGACAAGCAGGGGAGTTCTCGAGACCTACCTGACCTCGAATTCCCCTCTCGCCCTTCTAACGGGAGGGAGCCCCGGGCTCGAGGATATTACGAGCTCAGGGCTCTCTTCCGGGACAGCATGCCAAACACGCTTTATTGATTATCAGCTAAGTGTGAACTCTTGAAAACTGCTTTAAGTACCTAACCTACAGCTGTGTATTACTTCACATTTGTAAAAAAATAAAAAAATAAAAATCAAAATGATAAAGTAATAACTAACATTAATACATAAACAAATGCATTTAACAAAATTACAGAAAAACAAATGTTTAAACTGTAATTGTTGAATGAAATGTTTTTAATGGGTACTAACATTGTTCACTGAATTAGAATTAGAATGTTTGTTATTTGATTGTAATAAATTATACCCCAATTACCACGTTTATATAGTAATGTAATTAATAAATGTTAAAGTTTTTATAAACATTTAATTTAATCAGATATAATAAAATACATTAGCATGTTTAAAACTTTCTTTGATAAATAAAAATACATTTTTAAGTGGTAAAACCAGCACCATGCATTTAAGAATTGTAAACATAAGTTTATATCAGGGTACGCACACCAGTGTCGTAAATCGTTGGCCCCACGCGAGAAACACAGTGGGGTCTCGTTGGACACCTCATTGGAATGAGCTAATAGAGTGATCGTTGACCAGGCATTAGCGGTGCGATTGGCGTTGCTCACAAAGCGCATAACAACATGACTATGACACTATCATTCCTGAACCTAGTTCAAATCCAGCGTCTGATGAACTTATTCTTCCTTTTTCCCCATTACATATCAGATTTTGCCTACTCTTCATCACGAGGAAGACAAGTTGGAATCATTATTAAGTGTGTGTATTATGTTAAGCGCATTTAAGCATCACATATTATTTGCACATTATTGAATGGAAATGTTTCTGATTCACGTATCAAATTCATCTTCAGATGGTGCCTTTATAGCAATGTGTGTGCAGTCGATTGCTCTGATTACATTGGGAAAACCGGCGATCGCTGCAAATTGTGCTTTATTGTTTGGCTGGTCAACAGCATGGTATGGAAACCTTGAATACCTGCTAGACATGCAGATGATGCCATCTCATACAGCTGCCATTACACGGCTCAAAGATACTTTGTAGTGTGCAATTTAACATAATTGCTTCTAGGAGTCGCCAATGGAAAAAAACAAACACACAGGAAATGCACGTACGCCAAACATGAAGTTGCCATGGACCAACGCACATTCTCACGTTCATTTCATCGTTAGTAAATCCAAACTTGAGCGTGAAATCTGGTGTACGCAAAGTTTTTGTGCGTACGGAGTGTTGATACATGAGGCCCCTGGTGTGCAACCTTAGGGATGGAGTCTGGTTTGGCTTTGTGGATCAGTTGCTGCAAGAAAAAAAAGATTACGCTGGATGCCAACATTATCTGCATTATCTGAACCTTTTGCTGACAGTGATAAATGTTTGTGCCTGACAACAGATTTTGATCTTTGGTTTCATTTTAGAATACTGGACTCAAGAGTTTGAATTTTGAGAGTGTTTAAACGAGAGAAAAGTGTGAAATTGTCAAGGCCTAGCTGATAAAAGAGTATAAAGTGTGTAGTGAGGGGTTTTACAGCCTTAAAACATCTACAATAACTGTAAAAAATTAAGCAGACTACTTTGAGGATTTCGCCAATTGCAGGTTATTTTTAGAGCGTAACTCCGCGAATAATAAGGGGCCACTGTAATAGTGAACTGGTTCTATTAAAACTTAGAAGTAGTTAAGAATTTACATGTAAAGATGAATCTACTGTAAATTCCACTTAAGTGAGTCAGTAAAATTACTGTTAAGTTCAACTAATTGTGTTTAATATAAAGGTAAATTGGGATGTGTTTAAAATATCTAACAAACGCTTTTGAATTTAAGATAAAAGAGAGTAAAAACATAAGGAATTGTACTGGTGAACTATTCCTTTAACAGGGACCTCTTATGCCCCTTACAAGATGTTAAATAAATCTCAGATGTCCATTGAGTGTGAATAAGACGCCTCAAAATACCCCACAAATATTTTTATAACTCTGAGTATTTGATCGAAATTGTGTCTTTTTGATGACTGTCGCTTTAAATTTGAATAATATTGTGATCCAGTTATCTTTTTTTTTAAAAGGGAGCGAAGCTACAAATACCTTTGCATTAGCATAGTGACAGATTCACAAAAGGACTAATGTTAACTCTGTGAAAAACTTAAAATTTCTAAAGAAATGGCTCAGAAAAAGGCAGCCTATGGACAATAGAATGTTCATTTGTGCATCCTATTGCTGCAGTCACACTAGAGTTTGTGCGTGCGAAATTCTGTTGTAAGGCGATGCAAAAAGGGGCGGGATTAAACTAGATGATTAGACATTTAAAAAAAAAAAGCAAGCGATTGGTCCATGTTTTAAATTCCTGTCCAGAGAGGTCATGTTTTGATCTTCGATTGGTCTCACGCAATCATGTGATGCAATTTCGCAGGTCAGATGTTCACCGAGCTTGAACTTTCCAATGCAACAAACTGCGAAACTTGCCGCACGATCTTGCGTTTCTGACGCATTCGCGTGCGTATGAATAAAAGTCTATAGGGAGAAAAGTGCAGTGTGACCGCAGCTTCAAACTGCACGTTTATAATTCCTTTACATTATCTTCAGCAGGAATGGAGCAAACACTGTAATTGTGGATGGCAGCTTCTCACTATTCAAGATAATAAGAAAGAGATTGTTGATAACGGACAGGACTTTCCTACTCTGATGACACATACTGTTTCTGCAGACTTTTTTTATCCAGTGTGATTATAAAATGAATTGAATTCTTGTTTTTTTATTAGAGGTTGGCTATATTCACACACTGTTGCCAGACAACTGTGTTTAAACCCCTTATAAAAGTGATTGTGCAAAGGTCATCTTTAATGAAAAATGATTGTCATGATGATGGTTAAAAAAATGTTTATGCATTTACCTTGAATAGCAAATAGTCTTCAAATTGCTCTTTGAAATAAATGTTTGTTAGGACTGACTCACTGTTTTAAGATTTTGACTTGTCATTGGACTTTGGTGTAACATTCTCTTACTAATTTCCAATAGCTTATTTTTGGCTCACTCAGCTTTTGTAAACGGGCACATTTTAGAGTCTGTTAGAGTTAAAATGTTGAGTTTTACTATTTTTTACTGGCTGATCTCCAGGTCTGACATGATCACTTTTAGCTTAGCTTAGCATAAATCATTAACCACTTAAACTCTGCTGCTATTTGGGGATTTCCGCCTGGATTTTGCCTACCCAAATTTAAAAGCTTCCCAAATCCACATGCAGAGGTGTAAATGCAAAAAATTTGGTATCATTTTAAAGAAAACCCTTTGAATTTTAATAAAACATTATTGAAAGTATTTAAAATAACTGTATATGTCATCTGTGTTATAATAAACACCGAAAAAAGAGGCGCTTTTTGTATTTTTTTTATAAACTCAAATTTGAAAGGTTATGTGTGGTCTAGCATGCTGTAATTAATTTTTGTGGTTCCTACACATGTCTGTAATCATAGGAAAAAAGAAAAATGTCTCTACCATAATCTATGCAAAAGTTATTGCAGTCCAACTGATGAGAGGTGCTGTACAAGCCACAGAGACCGATCCTTGTTCACATATTTCACTATTCTTTTGTTTGATCAAACATAAATCACTGTGTTTGGACCACATCCGACATATAAAATGATTACTTATGCACATCACCTCAAAAACAGAGGAGAATGGCCCTGAAGGGCACAGCATAAGGTAAGAGATGACAGCTGTCTGTGCTATCTGGGGCTGCTTATTGATCATGAATTAGATTTCTGCGCCATGGAAACACCACAATTCATTCAACAACTGTTTGAAACAAATTGTATGAATATAATTCAGTAAAAAGAATGCTAGAACTGTATGAGCACCGGCAAGAGCTTTAATTTGAGCTATAACTTGTACATGTGTCATATAAAAAAATATGAAAATGAACCAATGTAAAATACCGAGCTCGGGTATCCAAAATACTGTGTATTTAAGTGTAAATAACTTTTTTACAGTAGAATAACAACCAAAGTGATGCATATGTGCATAAAATATAGATTCTACACTTTCAAACGGCACTACTTACAAGGGTCTGGTGCAATGCTAGCCCTTTAAATCTGAAAGCGAAAGTCGATGACGTCACGAACCCGGTAACGGGTCTGCAGAGTTCAGATTAGACCATTAGCATCTCGCTCAAATACGTCAAATAGACTAATTTTACCATTTAAAGCTTGACTCTTCTGTAGTTATATGGTAAGACTGACAAACATTTTTAAGTTGATATTTTCTGTCAAAATGGTTAAAAACTATATCATCATTCTGGCATAAAAATCAAGGAACTTTGCTGCAGAAGACAAAATAATATTTTTACCAGGATGTTTATAACATTCGGTATTATGTCTCTTACTCACCAGGCTGATTTGAGACTGTAGCTCGATCTCCAGACTCTGCAATGTGCGTCGTAAATCAGAAATACGTGACATGGAGGTTTCCAGGCACTCTGTGTTGATTGCAGTATCTTTACATAGACCTGCCATCTTAAAGAAGATCACAAACACACATCATGCTGTTTAACTCATGAGAAACAAAGCTTGTGTTTCACTATATGTTATATGGTATAGTTAGAGGAGTTGAAGATATCAAAGTCTCACCTTCTCTTTGAACCAGCACTCCTGTTCTGTGCAGTGTTTGTCTATGATGGTGTCATAATAACAACGGATGTCATCCAAAACCTTTTTGAGGTCTTGCTGAGGAGCGGCGTCCACTTCAACACACACCTTTGAGTTTGTCAACTGACACATTAGTGCCGCCACATCCTGTAAACACACATAACTGAAGCATTAAGGCTTTTGAAGCATAGCGTTTAGGTTGTTATAGCTATTCTGCTATAGAGAAACAGCTACCAACCTCTTGGTGAGTTTTTCTCAAATACACAAGTTCCTCCTCCAAAGTGCAGATCTGCAACTCCAGGTCGGCCTTTGCCAGGCATGTCTTATCAAGTATGCATCGCAGGTTATCAATATCAGCCTTCACACACTGATGTATTGACAGCTCATTCTCATACCTGACCAAAGAGGATGAAACATATCTATGACTTACACGAACAAAGTAGCTATCTGTGCATTTATTCATTCATTCATTCATCTTCTTTTCAGCTTAGTCCTTTTATTAATCCGGGGTCGCCACAGCAGAATGAACCCCCAACTTTTCCAGCAAGTTTTTACGCATCGCATGCCCTTCCAGCTGCAACCCATCCATGGGAAAGCAGTGCATTTAACAAATAGTAAATCTAAAGAATTAGGGTCTGAGTTATTTTTTATTGGTCATTGGATTTTGTCTAATAGTCTAGTCAAACGGTATTCTTTAAATCAAAAAGAAAAAGATTTTTATTATTTTTGTGTATTTTCACAGCAAAACACAAGTATTGAAGCAAATAATGTCCTTAGTTTTGGGAAAAATACACAAAACCAGTCATTGCACAAAATCTTAGAGCAGTGTGTTTCTCAACCATATCCCTGGAGGCCCACCAACACTGCCTGTTTTGGATGTCTCCTTTTTCTGTCACCCATTACAGGTCTTTCAGTCTTTGCTAATGAGCTGATGATCTGAATCTGGTGTGTTTACTTAAGGAGACATGTAAAATGTGCAGAGCTGGTGGTTCTCCAGGAATGTGGTTGAGAACACTGTCTTAGAGGGAGATAAGTAGAGGGACTTGTACATATGTTTAAAAATAAACAAATGTCACAAAACTATTTGGATTAGTTAACTTAAAGGGTTAGTTTATCATTTACTCATCATGTAGTTGTGTTTAACCTTTATGATTTTCTTTTTAATAAACACAAAAGAAGATATTTTGAAAAAGTTGGAAACCTGTAACCCCTAACTTCAATAGTATTTGTTTTTCCCGCTATCACAATGGTTGCAGGTTTTCAGCTTTCTCAAAAATATCTTCTTTTTTGTTCAACAACAGAAACACATAACATTTTCATTGTGCCGTGAACTATCCTTTTAATGATAACATTTGTAAAATGAACAAATGTTTTGAATCAAGTCCTCTAAATCACAGGTCTTAAACCCAAAGGGCCACAGCTCTGCACAGTTTTGCTTCAACCATAATCAAACATAGCTGATCTAAGTAGTCAAGGTGCTCAAGACTACTACAGACTATTTAGCAGGTGTGAGCTGGAGGTGGTTGAAGCTAAACTATGCAGAGCTGCGGCTCTTGGGGATTTGAGTTTGAGTCCATTGCTCTAAATGAAGTAAATGTGAAAATGACTTTAGAGAACTCACTTTATCCTGAAGTCATCAGCAGCCAGTTTAGAGTTGTCGATTCGGAGTAGGATTTTGCCATTGGTGATTGTAGCATCTTTAATCTATGAGAAAGAGCATGGGCATAGAAAAACGCAAAGATAAATCAGGCTATTAAACAATTATTTTATACAGTTGTTTTTCACACTCAAAATAGTTTTATATTAAAAAGATTGCATTGTGTTGCTTGGGGTGCCTGCAAACTTTTAATTCAAGGGTATTACAACACAAAGTGCTGAAATGTGTTACATAATTTAGACCTCATACTTGGTTTTTGCAATATAATAATAATAAAAAAACATATCCACCCTTAATTGTCTTTAATCTTTCAAGTTTTACCTTTTTCTGAAGGCAGTCAATGGTTTTCAGGTAGCAGCTGTAGTCTTTCTGACAGATTGGGTCTTTCTTCTCAAAGTAATCACAGATCTGCTTCTCCAGAGTGGCATTGGCAGCCTCTAAAAAGTGCACCTTATCCAGGTAGGACGCCAGACGATCGTTCAGGTTTTGCATGGTGGCCTTCTCATTCAACTGGTGATAGTCATAATCCCTGCCATAACACCCTCCAGCCATGATTCTAGCACCAAATCTTTCACCGAATCCATCAAGTTTGTATAATGGACATGGGGAGCAAGTATTTGGACGATAGGAGCAAGAAGAGATGCGGGTCCTTCCTCCAACACCGCAACCATATACACTGTGGGCTTTTGTTGTAACTGTTCTACAATGACGAGGAACGGTCACTGAAGACACGGAACAGCTATTGGAGAAGGTGCTAAAGCAGGACTTGGGGTTGGAGATGGGGCAAGGCTTGGGGCAGGTTTCAGATGAGGTTTCTGGGCAGCTTGAGGTGCAGGGTTCCGGGCAAGTCTTCGGACAAGTATCAGGGAAGGTGAATGAACAGGGCTTGGAGCAGGTCTCAGAACAAGTTGTAGAGCAGGTCTCAGAGCAGGTCTTCAGACAGTTGTCAGGGCAGGGTTTGGGGTTGTTGAAGGAGCAGGACTTGGAGAGTGTATCAGAGCAGGTCTCAGAGTACGTTTTAAGACAGGACTCAGGGCAGGTAAAGGAACAGGGCTTGGGACAGGTCTCAGAGCATGTCTCAGAGCAAGTTTTAAGATAGGTGTCAGGGCAGGTAAAGGAACAGGGCTTGGGACATGTATCGGAGCAAGTTTTCAGACAGGTCTCGGAGCAGGTTTGGGGGCAGGTGATTGAAAAAGACTTGGGACAGGTCTCAGGGCAGGTGAAGGAACAGGGCTTGGAGCAGATGTCAGATGAGGTTTTAATACACGTCTCAGGGCAGGTGAAGGAACTGGGCTTGGAACAGGTCTCAGAGCAAGTTTTCAGACAGGTCTCGGGGCAGGTAAAGGAACAGGGCTTGGGACAGGTCTCAGAGCAAGTTTTCAGACAGGTCTCAGGGCAGGTGAAAGAACAGGGTGCGGTGCAGGTGTTGGAGCAGGTCTCAGGGCAAGTTATGGAGCTACTCTCAGAGAAAGTCTTCAGACAGGTCTTGGGGCAGGTGAACGAGGAAGGCTTAGGGCAGATTTCAGGGCAGGTGGAGTAGCAGTGCTTGGGGCAGCTCTCATAGCAGGTCTCTGGGTAGCTTTGGGTAGAACAGGTTTCAGGGCAGGTCTTCAGGCAGGAGTCAGAGCTGGTCTCAGAGCAAGTCTTCCTGCAAGTCTCGGGGAAGGTGAAGGAGCAAGGCTTGGGGCAGATCTCAGAGGTCTCTGAGCAGCTTGTGGAGTAAGTCTCAGGGCTGGATTCAGAGCAGGTCTTCCAACAAGTCTCAGGGTAGGTTTTGGAGCATGCCATGGTGGATCGATGCAGAGATGAGATGAACGCAAAGAAAACACTACAAAAAAACAGTAGAAGTGCTGCCTTTGAAGCCTGCTGTGCTCTCTTTTATAGTTAGAGCTTGAGGGCGGGTTTTACATTTTTGTGTGTGTGTGTATGTGTGTGTGTCACCACTAGTTTTAGTGCTAAAGGACAGGAGATTCCACCCAAATGAGGTAAATGCATAAGATATTTTATGTATGTGTGAGTGTGTTTTTGTGTGTATTATATCTGAAGGAATGTGCAACTGGACAAAGGACATAATTATGAGTAAGTTTTATAATTCAAAATCTATGAAAGCATCACAAAAAGCAGAGAGTAAGTTTGGGTGGAGTTCCATTTATACACATGACTCAAAGGTCACTGGACGGACTAATGTCTTCAAAAAAAGACATTTAAACACAACAAAGCGTAGTTTTTAAGGTAAGGTCACAGAAGCCTATTAAAATCATTTTAAGAAAATGAGGCTTAAGTTTTTAATTTCATTCAGAATGCATTTCAAGAGAGTTCATTTCAGTATATGAGTTTTTTTTCACAGATATTTTTTGCAGTTTGGATGGGATAGTTTGTCTGATTTTAACACTTAAATCAGTTCATTCACTCATGAAAATCTTTGATCAAGCAATAACCAGATTACTGACATATTTGAGAAATAATCATAATTTGTCCATATATTTTAATTGTAACATATTCACACCATCAACAACAAAGATAGTGGGGCCATTCGCCATCAATGGAAACCTCAGTGCCACTGAATATTTGACATTGCTACATGATGATGTGTTTCCCTCTTCACACACTGAAGCTGGCACATTCCCTGAGTTTTTCCAGCAAGATGGTGCACTGCCACATTATTGTGTCAGGTCAGAGCATTCCTAGATGAACAGTTTCCTAAAAAGTGGATTGATCGTCGTGAGCCAGTTGAATTGCCCCCAAAGTGTCCCTGATCTGACCCCTAAGACTTTTATCTTTGGGGTCATCTGAAGGCAATTGTGTATGGTGTGAAGAGACAAGATGTCTAGCCCCTGAAACTACAGATACTGGAAGACTGTACTGGCATTTCTCCTGCAGTGTTGCTATCAGTGTGTGAAGAGTGGGAGAGGAGGGTTGCATTGACAGTGCAACACAATGGGCAGCACATTGAACACATTTTATAAGTGGTCAGAAACTTGTAAATAACTCATGAAAGAATAAAGTTACATTAAAACCAAGCACTCCATTGTTTTTCTTGTGAAATTCTCGATAAGTTTTATGTGTCAAATGGCCCCTCTTCCTATTGAAAAAACAAAAGTTGGACCCAAGCAGGCCGATTTCAAAATGGAAAATTGAAAAGTTTGCCCCCTCACATGTGCCATAACAAGGACGTTAATATCAAAAACCATTCTCATTTTCTTAAGGTGTATCCATATAAATGGTCCACCCGGTGAATTAGCTGTGTGTGTGAGTACGAGTGCTTCATTGGGTTGCAGCTGAAAGGGCATCCGCTGTGTGGTAAAAATATGCTGCATAATTTGGCGGTTCATTCTGCTGTTTCAATACCTAGTGAATAAAGGGACTACGCTGAAAAAATGGATGAATGAATAAATGAATGAATAATAAAGTTAACACAATTGAACTGTTTAATAAATGTGTTTTGTTTTTCTTTTGACAATCTCCGTGTTGATTGGGCTTTACTGCGTCAAAATACAAGAATGATTTTAGACCTTCCATTATATGCTCCTAAAAAACATAAAAAATCCATGAAACAAACAAATAACCATTAATATATGGATAAAATCTAGTAAGACTCACAATTTTGTGTGTTTGTACTGTACTGTACTGTACTGTACTGTATTTATACTGTTAGGACTATAGCTTTGCAATAATGGAGAAACTACAACATCATGAACAACAACAACAAAAAACACAAAATGTTTAATTCATTTTAAATTATAAATAAAATAATATTCACGTATCAAATTAAATGAGAGCAGATGCAAATGAAATGTTTGAAAATGAAATGCAAACAGGCTACTTTATACAGGTGGATTGTTTGGGCAAAATTATATTAAGCTGAGACGTGTGATCTGACAATTTATCTTAGTTTTCTTTCTCGCTTTGTCACATTTCTCCCACAATCAAAAGTCTCAAATATTTTTCTTCAGCATCCACATCAGTCACTTGTGTAAATAACAAAAGCAATTTCTCATTCTTTTAAAACAAATTGCTAGTGCCGCTTTATGAACTGTTTGTGCCATTTTGATCACAGTAGATTTTACTGGTTTTACTTCATTCAAGAAGATTCACTGCTGAAGATGGATGTAAAATATTGAATAGTTGTCAAAATGTATCAGGCATGTTTTCTATGTATATTCTCTTATTTTTATTTATTGATTTTGCAAACGTGTCCTGAATTTGTGAATTGTGCAGGTGAATCTTTCTGTTACTAATGAAAGATAATTTAAACCAGTTCTGCAAAGAGCTCAGAGATGCATCTGAGGAATAGAATGATGTGCTTGTTAAAGCTGAAAACAACTTATCAGCTTTTACCCTCGGTACATTTCGTGAAATGCTGTGGAGTTTCTTAGATGAGAAATTAACCAATAAACAACTGCATGTGACACCAGAAGCTGAGTAAGAGTATGAAGATTAAAGAGTGTGAATTAGGGAGTTACCAATGAATGAGTGAATATTCAGCTACAGTGAGCTGCTTTTAATTGGCAGTTTAAACCTGTTTTCCCTCATTTCAGAGGTTTATATGATAAACTCTAATGAACTCTTGGCATTTTAGATGCTTTGGTAATGAATAGCAACTGATAAAATGAACTCTGGGTGTGGTAAACACACTATTTTTAGGCAATATGCATAGACAAATACAAAGTGATTGTAATATTAGTGATAATAATATAATAATAGAGCAAGGACATTTTCACAGTATATCTCATAATATTTTTTTTCTTTTGGATAAAGTCTTGTTTGTTTAATTTTGGCTACAATAAAAGCAGATTTTAAGGTCAAAATTATTATTTAAGCTATATTTGATAGTCTACAGAACAAACCATCGTTATACGATAACTTGCCTAATCACCCTAACCTGCCTAGCAAACCTAATTAACCTAGACAGGCCTTTAAATATCATTTTAAGCTGTAAAGGAATGTCTTGAAAAACATCTAGTAAAATATTATTTATTGTCATCATGGCAAAGATAAAATAAACCCGTTTTTAGAGATGAGTTATTAAAACTATTATGTTAAGAAATGTGTTTAAAAAATCTGCTCTCTGTTAAACAGAAATTGGGTGGGAAAAAACAGGGGAACTACTAATTCATTCTGACTTTGTGTATATACACACACACATTCACACTACTAGGCCTATATTTTATAATTTATTTCATTTTATTTTTTTCTGAATTGATTGTTTTTAAATTGGTTCTGGTTGCACATACTAATTTTATTTATTTTTTTTATTTCTATTTTATTTCATAACATTATATTACAAATTTACCCGATAACATGGGAAAAAAGCATTAGCACCTTATTTTATGTTGTTTTATAGTATACTGCAGTTGATGGTTTTATTTAGGATCATTGTTATAGCTTGTTTTAAATACTCAAAGAACAAATGTGCAAATCAAAAGTCTGCATCTCTCTGTGTAGCTCAGGCTGCACTGCAGTGTCTATTCACAGGCGCGATCCCACTACTGATCGGCACGGGGGCTTTGACCTGCTTCGTCTCCGACCTGGGCCGGTTCACCCCTCTTTACACGACCTGGTGGTCCCGAGCTCCCCAAGGAGCACCATATCGATACCGAACTTAGTGCGGACACCCGATCGACATAGTCCACTGCAGCCCAGAAGCCCTGAGCTCAAGCGATCCGCAGCCTCAGCCTCCCAGTAGCTTGGATTACAGGCGCGCGCCACTGAACCCGGCGAGAGGTGAGAGAATCAGAGCTGTGGATAATCTGATCATCACAGCGACCTCTAGTGGAGGAAAACTGAATAATGACGTAAAGATGACCTTATTGGGTTTATGGCCACTTATACAAATAGTTTCAAGTGGGGTAGACTGAGCATACAGCTGAAAAACATTTGTTGTA